ACTTCCAGCAGCACTACATTCATTTGCATTTGTTTAGTATTACTATATTTAAATTTACAAATTGTATTTATAAAAACAGTGTGATTTGAATATCAAAAGTATGCAGTAAACCAGAGGTGGGAAACTATTTTAGTAGACATTGGTTATATATAGAACCATGAACACTTAAAGAACCATTTGCATAATTAAATGGTGCTTTGCATTGTGAAATGGTTCTTTAGATTGATGGAGAATGTGTTGTATATGGTTCTATACAGAACCTTTTTGAAAAGGGTTTCATTGTTACCATATCAAGCTTTTACCAATAGAACCCTTTTCAAAAAGGTTCTATAGAACCGTATACAACACATTTTGTATCAAAGAACCATTTCACAATGCAAGGCACCATTTAATCATGCAAACGGTGCTTTGAGTGTTTGTGGTTCTATACAGAAGCACTGTGTTTACGAAAGAACCCTTGAAAAGCCATCTTTTTTAAGAGTGCACCAGGTATAGTTGGTGTGCTACAGCAGGGAAATTACCAAACTCTGCTGGACTCCAGCCCTCAGCTCCCCAATCCCCGCAGTAAACAATTTCAGGCAAGAAACGCTTTAATCCATGTAGGCTTAGTTTATTCATAAAGCTGTCAAGATAATTACAAAAGTGTTACAAGGCATCTTTAGAAAACACAAGAGACAATTTACTGCATTCCCATATTCATCCAGATTACAAAGGGAAAAAAACACTATTCTGATGCTGAAAGGTAGCTTGCATTTATACAAGTGTATCTTAAAAAAATAAAGATCTCATCAGAAAATGGCTTTTTTTTCTTTAGTCAAAATTACTGGGGCCCCATTCCCTGGTAAGTAGAGATCATATCAATTTTTTTGACCCCTGATCCCAGTCCAGGTCCTGAAATATTGATTATCTGTTGAGACCTAATCTAATATTTGTATTTTTTTGACAACACAACTAGACCTGTCATAATTGTGAAATTTTAGCTGAAGATTAATTGGCATATATACAATATAATTGTCTTTCTGTTCATTGTATGTAAGTAAGCTATCTTGCTTCCTAGGTGTTGATACTTAGTAGTGCCCAACTGATGACAGTCGCGGCTCTAGCCCAGGAATTGTTCAATCTTATCCGCAAAAGGCTGGTGTGGCTGCAGGTTTTGGTTGCAACAAATCACATGATAAGTTGTTTCAAGACAGAAACCGACTGATTAAATGAGTGGAATCAGGTGTGCTCTTCTTGTTTAGAACAAAAACCTGCACCCATACCGGCCCTTTGCGGATAAGATTGGACACTCCTGCTGTAGCGCAAATAAACAAACAGTACTCACTGCTGCACTCTAAAGGTGTTACAGCACCAGTCAGTAGAACTTTTGTTTTCATAGGATCTATAAATTTATTTTCTCTTCTTTTATTTACATGTATTTCACTTAAACCAGCCGATGAAAACATCCACATTTAATAAACATATAATTGTGAAAGCTAACCACTGTAGAAAATAACTGCTGTCATCCCAAATAATTGCAAACATGCGATTATGTAATAATTGTGACAGGAAGTACATTACAATTAGTAAAAACCAATTAGTAAAATGTGCTAGGCTGCCAATTACTTTATAGTTCTATGGTAAAATTCTATAGTAAAAAAAAATATTTTTGCTGTGCATAGTGCAGCGCAACCAGAACTGATTTGCTTTTTTTGTTGCACTACCCTTCCAAAGTTACCATTGTAAGGTGTCTTAATACACCATTTTGTAAGTTTGTCTTGAAAATAAACTGTACAAAATACTTTTTCTTGGCTTTGACTATGCTATTACTCTATGCACAGTATGCGTGTAACAGCTGTACACACAAATTTTACACGTGGCTAGCTTAGCCATGTTTTGAGAAAAGGTGGCTAGCTGAACCATAGTCAAAACAAAACAAAAAACAAAACTACTAACATCGCAGGCAGTGCAGTTGGACTGGCAGAGGTGGACTGTTGTGACAAGCCCCCTATAGTCCTTAAAGGTAAATGATACTTATTGGACTCCTTATATCACTCCTTATGCTCATGGCACATGGGTAGATAATGTAACAATAATGTACCTCAACCACTAGCCTACATTAGATAACCAGCTTGGTTTAAACACAGCAATAGCAAGTAAACAATCAAATTTCATTGCATAGCTTTTTTATTCACTGAAGGTACCTTTTCTTTGGGGGTCCCCTATCTTTCCCAGTATATTTAAAATTATTACAAGAGCACAGATCTCTCAAGTGTGACTGGATAACAAAACTACATCACCATTTGGATGAAGGGAGGACAACTTTGGTACTACCCGTTCAGGTCAGTGCAAAGAATACATGCCAAGATACTCCAACATCATCTCATCACTTACTTAAGTAATGCATCTTGACATCCAAATGATACTTTGTCCAGTGACTTATAATGAATAAACATAGGGTAATATACTCTTGAGAATAACATTCATTAGAATGCATCAACATCTTTAGATCACAAAAATTGCTTTCTGTCTGCCCATTCTAACTCATCATCATTTAATTTTTCTCATCCAAATTGCCAGTAGTTATGCCACAGTACAAATTGCATGTATAGGTAGAGAGAGTTTTTTTTTGCAAAAGACATGCAACAAAGATGACCTTGTTTTATTCATTAAAGTAATTGGTTTAAAACAAAAAATAAAATGTACACATTTTTCCCATTATCCTACATGTAGCTGATCAGCCAACTTTGGTGTCCAAAGTTGGTTAATTTAGTTTTGCACTGGAACATGATTATAGTTTAACAGTAACCAATATATTGTAACAATTCCCATTGTCTTGTTTTTTGTGATTTAGGTTCAACTTATTTTTCATTTATCTGATACATTATTAGTAAACATGGCTCATTTTTTTCAGTATCGCAATAAACCAGACAGCGTCCACAAGTTCCCCCTGGTTTTGTTAGTGCCAGTATGTTAATAATGCCAATAAATATATAAAACTCAAACAGTCAAATGTCTGGAGTTCATGTCTCTTTCAGTCACAGCAGCCCTGCAACTAGAGGTGCGTATAATTTAAGTGTTTAAGAAAGAATCATCAGCCTACAATTGTATCTATGTGCATTCCGTCATCCTTTTATTCTTACAATAGTTTAAACCTTCATTAAGTGTAATGACAATGACTTAGATCTCTATCATGTACCAATGGTTGTTGGGCAATGTTTTGTGCAAATAATAAAGACTCATGTCACACTACAGAGGCATAATAACTTGCCTCAGGCTGTGTTGCTATGATCTCAAGTGTTCTGGTTGATTACCTTGATGACATCACACAGGGCATTATCGTGGTTGTGTGACATTACAAGAGTGAGCATTTTAGTGTATCCATAAGAGTATACTCATATCTGGAAAAGACTGTACACCAGCTGATCCCCAGCACACGAGGGATAGGGTGTGTTCTACAGTTCTACAGTTGAATCTAGTGTGTTGATATTATTTGCATAATACATACCTCTGTAAAAAGACAGAGCCTATGGTTACAAAGGATAAACATATGGTGGATTCATAAAGTTGCTATGACAGACTAATTCATAAATTCAAGTGCTAGAACATCTAAAAATCTAGAGCACTGGGCTCTCAGAACACTCATACACTACTGTATAAGACAAAGATTGAGAAGTTCAGATAAAAAAGGTGTGTGTATTTTTTTGTATGTATAAAATATAAAACATTAAACAACCACTTACAAGAACAATTATCAAAATGATATAAGAATACAAGAGAATATAAAAATTCACTAGTTAAATACATTTAACTATATTAATTAGGTAAAGATCACTGGAATGTTTAATGTAACATCTTGAGAACCTACACTAGTTTTTAGTAGTAGTGATACTATTTATGTAGGAATGTTGTTAAAGGGGCATTTAAACCAGTGTTTTGTGTTATTTTTCATGCTATGTAGTGTTTTGTAGTACAGCACTGTAGCTCAGCCTAAGTGTCTTGATAAAATTTGAGATCAATATATCTTTCACTACAGTACTGCTCGTGGATTGTGCAAATACAGAGGACTGACAAAGGACAAAGAGGAAAAGATAAGTACTCTGAAAAGGGTTCATTATTGGCAACAGTGGTTAAAGTGACATCTGCATTTGAATCTATGGGAATGACTTCAGTAAATAAAGTGTACTGATGTCCACAACTACATAGAGATGGATAGTAGGGTTGCAGTGCATAAACTTCTCAATACAAAGATGAATGCATATTTGAGAGCTCAATTGTGTACAACCGTACACACTACTTTGCAGAGATGTTTGGGGGGGTGGTTAGTAATATGATCAAATGAGTCATCTTTCACCATATTCTCAACAAATCAGCCCCAAACCTTCTAAGACCTTCTTGTTTTTTTCCCTGTAATTTGTCACCTACCAAATAATCACCGGTCTGTTACAGTACAGTAAAGGCTAATACGTACATCTGTGCTGTCAGTTAACTTGAGTGGTATAACAGTTCTCAATGGATTGTGGAACAGGGTGAAATCTGTGAAGGCAATAATTTCAGTTTTTCCCATCGTGGAAAAAAAATGGCTGTTGGCTACAGCAAAGTATGTTACTATAGTATGTTAAAGAAATTATAAACATTTAATCCTTTAACATACGTACAGCCAACACACAGGATAGGAGAGAGAGATGAAAACAGAATTACTGGAATATTCACCAAACCAGATTGCAAAGAACATGGTAACTGCATCTATATTTAACACGAAACAGATTCCAAAAGTTCTAAGAAAAAAGCAGACAAACTGTCATAAGGTTTCTAATTTTACCATTTAGCTTGTTGTCCCCTTCATTTGGTGAGTAACATGTCATTCGAGTAAATCATGCTGTCCATTGTAAAGATTATTTTAAGTTACACTATTGGAATAAGACATTTGGCTAAGAAATGTTAGCTTTATGGCTTCCTTGTGCATGAGCCCAATGGCATTAGCTAGTCAGCCAGCTAGGTAAAACTGCCCACCCCGAAGCTGATTCATGATTACATGTTTTTTTATTGTACTCCATGTTTATACTGGACTATTTTGTTACATGTTGATCTTCTCTATTGACAGGCACAGTCAGTACTATTTTAGGACCTCACTAGCTACCTTGTTTTTTTTTTTTCCCTCTCCTAGGCAGCTGCAGGCTCAGTGAAGCAGAGGGAAGACTACTCTGGCTGTCTTGCAAGAAGTGAAGGTGTTGGGGGTGTGTGGCTGGCAGCAAAACCATTTTCCAAAGAGTGCAGTTCATGGGCAAGGCTTTGGGGCCCTGTGCCTTCGTTCATAAGCACGTCAATCTCATTCAGTTTTTGTTTGTGGTACCTATGACAGTGTTTGCGCACACAATGCCTTGAAGAGTAGCTCTTTCCACAGAGCCAACAGTAGACCCTCACATTATCAAAAGCCTTATCTTCAGGCTCAACTTTTGTTTTTGCTTTCCTTGGAGGGGGAGTACGGCTGGCTGCATTACTGTTTTCTAACACAAAGAACTTATGGGCCATGCTCATGTGTTTCATCAGCAGCACCTGGGAGCTGTACCTACCCTTGCACAGGCCACAGCAAAAAAGGTCCTTCATCCAGGGCATGAAACCTACCTTACTAAATTGTGCTGCCTCTTGGGAGGATGAACTCTCTTTAACAGGCTTTGAACTGGGTTGAGGAACAGGTGTAGTCTGAGTTGAGAGGTGTGGTGTAGGTGTCGTGCAGTCTTGCTTTAAGCCGTGGCGCACCTCAATACAATGGCAATGAACATTTCCCTTCTTTTCCAAGGATTTCTGGCATACATGACACCTTTTACCAACAGATGACAGGGGTTCCTCACAGGTCTCACCATTTCCCTCCATACATCCAGGTGCAGATTTTCTTTTGGCTTTATTCACAGAGTCTTTTTGTAATGTCCTGATGTTATGGTCAATGTTCATGTGCCTTGACATCATTAGGTGGGAAATGAACATCCTCTTGCACACCCTACAGCAAAAGAGCTTTTTCAGAGTGGGAACATGTTGTATGTTATCTTTGGCTCTGTCTCTCCTTCCCAGCTTAACATGGACTGCCTTATGGGAGGATGAACGCTGCTTTTTGAGATGTGATGGAGATACAGTGTCCTTTTCTAAATCGCTTTCTGCTTGTTCAAACTCTGCTGATGTCATTGTCTCTTGTACATTTGAGAGAAAGCCCTCTTCTTCACTATCCTTTCTCTCAATCTGCTCATTGCCCCCTGCCTTTTGGGAAACTGGACCTACTTTTTTAAGTGTAGCAGGTGGCTGCTGGAACCTTCTGAGGACCACAACAGGTTCGCGGCAACACAGTTTCTGGGATACAGAGTTTTGATGGTGGGAATTAGGACGGTCTTGACACACAGGATTGGGGATGGCTCTGACAGGTGACGTCTCCTCATGATTTCTTTGTGGGAAAACAGCCTCTAGAAGATCTTTTATAACCTGTGAGGGGTCTATACAAAGAAGAATTAATGTTGGTACCATAAAACTTTTTAAGAGAAAACAATGGATGAAAAATTGTAACTGTAACTCTAATTATTCACTGAATCACAATCTTTTTTGCCATGCTGCAAGAACCTGTTATTTTTCATTATGCATTTTTATCACAAAGCACTCAATAAGCATGTTTTTAATGTCCTTTCAGAGATCCAACATAAAATAAAGAGTGTACTCATCCAAGAAAAAAATTTAGAAATACAGACAACTCAGGTACTAGGGAATGGAGAAATGCTGACCGTCTGGTTCAGGTTGCTTGGACAAGCAGTAGAACCTCCTGTGCTCAAGCAGATTAGGAAGACAACGGAAGAGACTTCGGCAAAGTTGGCACTCAAAAATGGTATCCACCTCATTCAGTAGAGTAAGTTTAGCCTGAACCGTACCTGGGTGTAACAAGAGGGCAATCAATAATTACTTGCATCACAAGCCTTTAGATTTAAAACAGATGTTTGACATTGATGTTTAAATCATAACAAAATGAGGGCTCTTCAAAAATCAGGAGTTAAAATAACACTAAAATAACAGAGATAGGAGAGTGTTGGTATTATGAAGAAGTACTAAAATACCTGAGCGAAAACAATCAATGATTTGCTGAATTCCAGTCATAGTGGAATGCTGTGGCAGCCGAAGCAGGGGTGGGTCTCCAAGTTCAGTAGAATGCACTGAAAATGTGAAAAGAATTATTTAAGAGTATAATTCATTTATTCAATCAATTAGAACCCCCCCCCCAAAAAAAAACACTTTGAGAAAATAAAATAAACAAAAAATTTTATTCAATTTTTTTTTCCCCCAACTACACCACAAATTTCAGGTAAAGATTCTGTGACTACCCAAGATGCACACTTCAACACTTTTGTCTCAAAGTCAATGTCAACTGGAAATCGTCGCACATTTTCCTTTCATGCTGCGTCGTATTTCAGAGGGTCTTGAAGGGTTTCTGAGCTAGTTGAGCGTTTTTGGCTTGATGTTAAGTCGGGGAGCAGTGACGTAATCAAAAATCAGAAGATGTTTCTGAAGTGAGGAAAATTCCCTACACTTCAGTGAAAGATTACTGAAATTATGATTTTGTTTTTGAAATAATATGATATGGTGAATCGTGCTTTATATGACCAGGGCCAAGACCTTACAAGGTAAGTCTTTTAAAGCCATGTTGACAATGTCAGTGAAGAAAACAGTGACACTACTCAATTACAGTTCTCATCAAGGCTCCTCTTAAAAACAGGATAATGAATTATCCAGTTTAACACTGAGCTGAATCTTTCTAATTTACCACAGTATAAGTGACAGGAATAGCACCTATAAAATGATGAGATCTGGCAAAAGAGGCCTACCTAGGGTTCTGTTAGCAGGCTTTGGACCCATGAGAGTTGGTTGGTTGAAGTTGTTTCCAGGCTCGGTTTGACTGCTTTTGTTGTTGGTCAGGTCTTCAGTTGTGTTTTCCTCTATTTTAAGCTAAAGCCACACAGAAAAGTCAGTGGGTAATTTAATACTTTCTTTACAATATTTATTTATCAGCTGATATTCTAACATTGATATTCTAACCTGCATTGTCACCGTCTGACAGTATGTGTCAGCCAGCATCCTCTCATCTTTAGAGTCTGTTTTCTTCATCTTATATGTTTGTTTAACATTCTGAAGAAAGAGTTTTGAATGTTAGTTAGTACATCATTTCTTCATGCTTTAGATATGTGAATGAACAAACTATTGGACAGTAAATTATTCTGAAAAGTATTCTCATTAAGCAAGCAGAAGCAACAGAACAGAGGTGTATTGCTCATGTTTCACAAATCACCCTCTTTACCTGATTGTGCCCAGAATTACGCCTCTTCTTCTGTGAAGACCTGGACTGTTCCATGTTACTCTCTTCTAAGGTCATGGCAGCCAAAAGTTACACTGCTGTAGATGGTGAATAGGTTCAGAGAGAGTGGACATAGACGCTGTTCCTGATATAACCTAAAAGCCAGAGCTCATCCACTTTATAACAAAACACTTACTGCTGACAAAACAGCAAACAAAGCTGACCTGAGACAAAGTGAAATGCACAGATACAGTGACATACCAGTTATTATTCTGAGCTCTGAGTGATTTCCAGTTCCCTCAGCTCATCAGATAACGTGGCTCTTTGGAAAAACTGAATCTGTTCTAAGCACAGCACAGTGCAAGTTCTGTTTTTAAGTAGAAGGAAATCATGATTATCATAACCACTTTACAGAGACGGTCATGACTTCTGATTCCCAGCAACCACAGTGCGGGTAAACCAAACAACTCATATCAGATGTGCTGCTTTTCTAATAATAAACAAAAGGATTTTAATCAGCTAGAAAACTTCAGCTCGCGAGGGATCTCAGTTTGCCGACCACAGTCACACATGCCATTAGTTCCCATTGTTGTTAGTTACGCAGCCCCAAGTGTTTGTTTCCCTTACCTGCCTCGGTGCTTCCCAAGACTTTGACTGGCGAGTTTTGGTGTGTAAACACGAACGCAGAGCTTTATCCACACACTACAAAAATAGTGATGCTTCTTATTCTGTTTCTTTGAGATTTTGGGTAGTTGCACAAATCCTCTATGTGTAATACCGCCCCCTACTGCGCAGGAGTGGGCAGTTACAGCACTGACCAGCAGCCCACTGTGGCTAATATTGGTTTTACTTAAAAAAACATCACAACACAGCCGCTGTAGTTGTAAGTTGGTATCATTGGACATCCTGACGAAATTGATAGTTGTCTGATGAACTAAACCAGGTATGGGAGCAGGTAATGAAATAAGCAGTGAATTGGGCCTCCACCACTGGGGTTAAGAAGAACTGTGATAGTTAAGTCACTATCAATATAGTGTGACTTTGGTGTACCCAGCATTGTCTTTTAAATTTCAAACATTGTGAAATCATTTTTTAAAGTTTTACTCTGATAGAACATGTTATTATGAAAAGATAGGAACTTTAACCTTCACTTTAAAATACATTTTATACCTTTTATACCATTTTCTCTGATGTGGAGTCAGGGATTTTGACCAATCCTAGGTACTGCACTGCATGCACTCAAAAAAATCATTGTTGTATGAGTTCAGTTATGCCACACATTTCCATTCAATTCAACTGATCAGAGTCAGTGCACACAGACTTTATTACCTCAAGGCAAAGTACATTTCAGTCCAGTTTATCTGGGTTTCATTAGAATGAAATTCTCTTTGGATTAAGATAAACAGCTTTCATTCATTGAAATGTACTTTCATACATTTTTGTCCATTTTCTTTATAAACCAGTTACTTAACTTACTACAATTCATTTATTTATTGTTAACATATTTACAATTTGTAAGTTAAACAACCAGCTGGTGGTTGAATGACTAAAGTGGTTAAATAACTCAACTTTTTAAGTTATATTTTCATAAAGTTTTTTAAAAAGTTTGTTCATACTTTATGAAAAATACTTCATAAAAATCAAACATGTCCAAGAATTGCTGTCCACCCTGTCATCTTGGAATAACTTCCCCTTTAAGAAAGAGACCTTTGGTATCAGCGACACCACCTTCATACTGTTTTATCTTCAATGGACTAAAGACACCTGTTGCATGTTCAGTAGCTATTTAAATTCATTTTGAGTATTATTTCTCACATTGTCTACATACACAGCAGAGGCCAAGCTTAAGATGTCCATCCTGTTGTGGTGAAATATCGAGTTAATTAAAATAATTTTAGAAGATCAAAACATATCTTTGAAATGAAACAAGGTCATCTTGAACATTTCAACATGTCTGTAACTGTAGGTCAACCATATGTTCTTCAAGTGCTAATTTGTCCACCCTATTGTACAGCTTGTCATGACAGGTTGGACGCATGCACAATAGGGTGGACATATACATGCCTCTTCTTTGTTGTTTTCATGTTGTTGTTGTTTTTTAATAAGTCAGTAGTTTTCATTGCTCAACTGTTGATGCTGAAAGAGGCACTGTTTTAAAACATTACTTTTACCTCCTGTCACTCATCGCACTGCAACAAAAGCACTTATATAGTAAGCACAGCTAAAACACAGACACATCCAGTTACTCACTCACCCACTCAAAGTCACTCTCCACTGTCAAATTTAAGCTTAGGTATTTATTAGGGACACATTGTTAGTGGAACTATTGCCATTTTTGTAATGTTTCATTTAATTGAATGAAATGTTCTTGTCCACCCTGTCATATTCTGGTCCAGCCTGTCATGTCCTTGTCCAATCCATCATCTACATGTTTTATTGAAATAAATCAGTAATTCGTCACAGGTAAATAAACCATTATAACTGATTTATTTCACATAATGGTGGGTCAAGTCATTTTCTCCAATCTCCAAAAAAGATGTTTACTGTTACTATTGTTTGGGATGTCTGATGTGGATACAGCAGGGAAAGAAACTAATTTTATTTAAAATTCCATAACTGTAAAAGTTTCTGATGGGGCCTTAAGAATTTCCCCTAAAAAAGTTTCCATTGTACTTTACAATCATAATTTACATATGTTGTGTTTGTCCAAGACAGGGTGGACACGTGCAGTTGCATCATAAGATGGCTTGCCATCGCAAAATAAAAAGTGTTTAAGTTTCACACAGATGTTATCGGGGTAGTATGTATTCTTATAACTATGACAATTATTCAAAGAAAAAATTTAAGTATTTTTTTTTTTAAGTTATGAGGCCCCAAAGGCACGGTATACTGATTATGACCCAGTTACATGGAAGTGGAATTGCTCAAGCCTCACTAGTAGACTAGCCATTCAGCCTAATGCCTGGAGCTGCTGAACAGCGCAAGTCATTACACCAACTACATGATTTATTTGACATAGGCTATGTCATGACGGATGGATGGATGGATGGATGGATTGCCTTTGGACATTCCAGCTCTGCCCCACTCATTATCCCCAAACATGCTGCTTGTTTTGTTTGTTTCATTCAGTTAGTTTAGATTTATCCAGTGAGACTTCTTATCTGACTTGAACTTTTTTAAAACAACAAACATAATGTAGTTTTTGTTAATTAGTTAATTAGAAAGTAATTGGCTGATTTTGGGAACAAAAATAAAATAAAAAAGACTGAGAGAGCTGCACTGAACCAGTTGATCTGACTCAATGCAAAAAACCAGAATACTCATCACTAGTATATAGCAGTTACTGTTTACCTTCTTTACAAATATAGCCATCAATTCTGCACTGAATAGAAGCAATCGCATAGAGTTTTCCATTATGAAATCTGGCACATAATGGAAAACTCTATACGATTGCTGGTATTCAGTGCAGAATTGATGGCTATATTTGTAAAGAAGGTTTCTGTCTCATTATTACTGACATTTTAGTACCTCATTTTGGAAAGCACACTGCAGAACGTTTACCAGTAAAACATTTAGCATAATGTAGTTAGACCTTCATAGTCCATCATATAAGCCTACTACCCACAACAAAGATATGAGCATAATAGCTCATGGCTCAGTTAGGCGATTTCTCTATTACCACATTGCATTGAGAGAAACAGCAACAAATATTTAATCTGACTAAAACAAAGGTGTCCAGTCTTATCCGCAAAGGGCCGCCATGGCTGCAGGTTTTCATTCCAAACAAGCAGATGCATACTTGATCAATTGTTTGACTAAGTCTTTTGGAATGAAAAACTGCAGCAACACCAGGCCTTTGAGGATAAAAGTAGACAGCCCTAGACTAGGCCTTATATGTATCTCCAGAAAAAACATCCATTTGTAATGTTTATTAAGACTACACATTGCTCAGTTAGCAGATTTTTGTCTTACCGAACCTGTAGAATGTGATTTGAATGTTCTCTCATTACATGACTACCCTGTAATCAGCGTCACAGCATCACATTAAATAATGATGGCATGTACTCAACAACGCTCAGTGCTTCTCCTCTCAATGCAGCTCAGCTAGTGTTCCTCATCTTTAAGCCAGTGAACATTCACAAAAACACTCACACATGGAAGATAACACATTTATTTCAAAACAATTACATGTTAATAATCTTATTTCTGCTACACAGGACCAAGGTATTATATCTACGTAAGTAAGGGACAAATATTTATGTCTGGAATGTTGCTGCACTTCTGACAAGGCCCTCCTTCCTAAAAAGAGAAGAATAAAATTAACTGAAAATTCCTTATTCTGATCATGTTTCCATAAGATATAGGCTCACACTACAGAAACTGATTTAACTTTTATCAACATTCATGACAATACAGTGTTTTACCAAGCACTTGCAGTAAGTTTAATTCAAAAGTGTGAAATATTGAGACCTTCAGGTTTTTTTTTTCTTACTGGACGCTACAACAGAGCTGCTTTAAATAGAGTGTCTACCAGTAAATCCCATTGGCATACATAAAAATGCATGAAACAATCACTCTTTTAATGTTTTAGAGAGATTTAAGAAGATTTTTTAACTGTAACCTGAAATTCCTTTGGAAACATGAAACATGTTTTGTGTAGGTGTAAAAGGCCAATTCTACACAGTGTGATTAAGAGTAACTAGAATTCTTGATTAGAATGTCATCATTTTAAATAACAAGGGGCATAAAATCTCATAAGGCTTTTTTCTTCTCACATGTTTCTAAATTACTGGAAGCTGATACAAATTATTCTTTTGACTGCCATTATAACGGTGACTTTATTCAATACAATATCTTAGAAAACATGTTTTCATGTTAAACAAGTTGACATAGTGAAGTCCCCATCTTCTTAACCATCCACACAAAGTATAGATCACATAGTTAAGATCAATTCTTATTAAACTGCAAAGTAGAAATGAGTAGTTCAACACTTACGCTTCTCTTTTGAATGTTTCATGTGAAATCCTGTTGCTTTCAAGACCCTCGGGACACTCGTTGAAATTCTTGATACCAAGTGTCATCAGTGCTAGGAGTGTAAGCATGTTTAACTTATCTTAACCTAATGCAAAATCAGCACATCCTGTATTAGGCTAAAGCAATTTGAATTAATACTAATATTTCAAAAAATCTGCAGCGAAACATTTCACTAAAAATGTTGTATACTGTGTTAAATTTAACACATGTTCTTTACTGACATACACAAAAAGACTTTGAATAGAAAATCCTGGGCTGTTGTGGCTGCAAGTTTTCATTCCAGCAAAGAAGGAGCACACGTGATCAATTTTTCGAAAACTTGCAACCACACCTTTGCCCTTTGTGGAAAAGATTGGACACTCATGGACGAGGCCAAAACTATGTCCAGAAAACCATCCATTTGTCATGTTTGGTGAGGCTTCACACACAAGTTATATTCACATAATTATAGAATAAAGTATAACGTGATTTCCCTACCCTCTTTGTACTGAGCGTAAGTGATGTGCCCTTGATTTGCTGGATCCAGAATCCCAACAACTGCGTCCAAGTTGGAATTATCAAAGAGACAAGGACTGTCAACGGCGCGATCCCTGGAAGCTTTCATTTGTTCAAGGTGGGATATCAGAAATTCCCTTGGACGTTCTTGAAAAAGAAAAAAGTTGTTGCAAACCATAACGAAGGAGGAGATAATGCATCATACACACATAAGTATAATCCAAGTACTTCCCACTTTCTTAAAAAAGACATTTCTTTAAGGGTTCTTTAACAAAGACAATGGACCTATTTAAACCATGGACACTCAAAGAACCATTTGCATGCCTAAAGTATTCTTTGCATGGTGAAATTGTTCTTCAGATTGATGGATATTGTGTTGTTTATGGTTCTATATAGAACCTTTGTGAAAAGGGCATTATGGAGCACCAAAATGGGTTCCCCAATTGTTACAATGTCAAGCTTGTAACAATAAAAGAAGAATACTGTCAGCCAGTGATGTTCACGGATGCAACTCGTTTTCACTTTAGTCACTGATTTGAATGAATTTCATAGATCTGTTTCTCACTGATTTCCGGCTGGGCAACTAGGGGGTTCTTTCTGTGTGGAGTTTGCATGTTCTCCCTGTGTCTGCGTGGGTTTCCTCCGGGTGCTCGGGTTTCCTCCCACAGTCCAAAGATATGCGGTCAGGCCAATTGGACATGCTAAATTGCCCCTAGGTGTGAATGTGTTTGTGCTTGTGCATGTGGATATATATGTCTGTCTGTCTGCCCTGCGATTGACTGGCGACCTGTCCAGGGTGTATCCTGCCTTCCGCCCAGTGATCGCTGGGATGGGCTCCAGCACCTTCCCGAGACCCAGAAGGATAAGCGGTTTAGAAAGTGTGTGTGTGTGCGTGTGTGTGTTTCTCACTGTTACTCTGATAGGCCACTAACAGTAGCCATTGGTTATCACTGCTTAATCGAAATACTTAGTCCAGTGACTGGCTGGTTTCTTTTTTCATCTCTCTGTATTTCATATTAATTGTTAAATCTTATCCTTTGCTCATTTTGCTCTGGTTGAGTTATTATTTTGCTATCGTTGTCGACCACAGGAGGATGGGTTCCCCTTCTGAGTCTTGGCTCCTCTCAAGGTTTCTTTTTTTTCCTGCAACTGTCGCCATCGGCTTGCTGATCGGGGCTCGGACCCGGATCTTCTGTAGAGCTGCTTTGTGATAACGTCTGTTGTAAAAAGCGCTATATAAATAAACTTTTAATAACAGTCAGTCTGAGTTCACTATCAGACTAGGCCAATGTACAGCGTAACTCTTTTCTCTGTGGGAGAAATGTGGACAGTCACTCTAAGCAGAGACTCAGTGATGTTGGTCCACCTCACTAACGCTCTCAAATCACGTGATCACAGCGGAACGCAGGGACAAACGTCACTGAACTGCTCCGTAGATTAACTTTACTCAGACAAAACGACAGAAAAGTCTTACCTGGTCTGTAAAAGAACAGCATACTAGTTAAATTATTCATTAATTCTACAATTTTGTGATTTTTGAGGTACTCTGCAGCCTCCTCTTCCCGAGGTGTTGACATCTTGTAGCCCGGATGTTGTTATTCTTGGTTGCGATGATACGAATCGCCTGGTGACGCAGTCATTTTTTTACTTGTAATATTAACTATATTTTCTCACGATTTGGTATGTTGTAATAAATATCATTACTGAAATAAATTAATGATTAATTAAACAACTCTATGGTTTATCTGTACCGACATGCATAACAAATACCTGAATTAAGCCTCAATCCCTGTAAAGCAGTTTGAGTGGCATTTCACTGTGTACAGTTCTGTGTAGAACTACTTCTTCTAATATTGTTACTATGGATAATAACAATACTACTACTACTACTACTACTACTAATAATAATAATAATAATAATAATAATAATAATAAAAGAGGTGGGCTTTTAGTAGCTCCATTTAATAAGTTACATGTATTCCCTAACATCTTAAGGAATTTGTACTTTCAACTTCTACTGAAAGAAGTACACTTTTACTCAGTTACAGTTTAGCCATTAACATTTATTTCCTTATTCATTTTTGTGTTTATTTACATTATTATACTGGTAACTATATATGTGCTGCTTTGTGGTCAGTCACACCCCTTAGCATTTTCATTTTATTTTGTTTTTGATTTGCATGGCCTGTTAAATCTGTCTGAACTGATGGGAGGATCTGACTGTGATTGTCCTCTTTTCAATCTGCCATCATGCTAGAGCTTCACTTCTGCGCTGCAATGGCCGTTACTGCTTAAACCATTTACTCATTATAGATATGGTAATGATATGAATGATGTACGTTGTTGATGTATTGTTTGTTTGTAAAGTAGCCAGTTTTAGGACAAAGGAGGATACGATCTAATTTATCTTTTCCCTTCAATTGTAGTTTGTTTTGTTTTATTCGTGTTATTCTATTTTTAATACTTTTTTTGTATTGTCTGTTTCTGCCTTCGATTTTGTAAAGGTACTTTTACTCGAATCAGTACTTCACAGAAGTAACAATACTTTTAGTTTAAAAAGGGGTTAGGTTACTCTATGTACCCCTGATGATGATGATGATGATGATAATAATAATAATAATAATAATAATAATGGGATTGTAAGATTTTTACAGGAAGGATTCGCATATTTTGGAAGTGCATTTCACTTTTATGTCTCTGTCGTTGTGTGACTGTTATGTAATGTTTAGCTTTTACTTTATGTAGGGCAGGCTGCTGGATCAGAGAGAACACATGAAGCCGAGAGTCGCCATGTCAAAAGATTTACGGGAGCGCGGTCACGTGGGTTTGGCGAGCGGGTGAGGGTGGAGCTCATTCCCTCTTAAGCAGACAGCAGGGACTCCAGTCCCACTCACCCGAGCGGGAAATTCTGCCCATTTCTTCAAACCTTAGCAATTATTTCCCCCCTTCAAGATTACAGCGAGGTTGTGGGCATTGTTAGGATCTTGTTGGTATTTTGAGCCTAAACACGCATTTTCAGATGAGCTGTTTTAAGATTAAACAGTTTTGTTTCGGGTTTGTTCAACACGCTGCCCAGTCTTTCAGCACAGGCTGTTGCCGTTGCCCGGGGAGACGGGGCGGGGCGAAGCGTTTGACGCAAGACAGGAACTGATCCCTTTGTCGCCCCTTTGATTTGACTAAGTCTGTACCATCTTGGTTTACCTCGTATAAAATCTTTGGCTGGATTGACCATGGTTTGACGCATTTAGTGTGCGACAGTACGCCGCCTCTCCTCAGGCCGTTTTGCGCACGCGCTAACCGTGGAGTCCTTGGCTGCGCGAGCCGAGCGCTGTAGGTGAAGCGATCTGTGTTCAGGACACGGACAAAATGCAGACCTGGAAGCAGCTGTACCGCACCGTCGCTACGGTAAATACCGCGTAGATTAACGTAGCACCCTCGACTGGAGTGTGTCCGGTGCTCTACGGACAGAAAAGAGGCTGTAAATGAACAAACGTGCCGTTGTTTGGACAGATTGTCTGCTGCGAAGGCCGAGTTAACGTTAGCACGGTAGCATGGTGGCTGGCCAAGTAGCTCAGTTTACATGAACACTAGCCAAACCAACAAGAACAGATTATGAAAAGCATTTGATAGCTGTGTGAGCCATGCACGTAGCGACCAAACTGTGTGGTTTCGAGCTTCCCAAAGTCCGCGTTGGTACCATTTTGAAGTAAATAACTAGATAGCTGGCTGCGTTAACGGTAGCTCGCTGCTTTTTCCTGGTGAGCCAAACAGGCGATTCATCGTAGTAAGTTAATAACTTCAGCTGAACACACACTGATCACGCAGTAGTAGTCAGTATGAGTTCCCAGAAGCAGATACGTGCTCTGTTGTCATTTTGTAATGTCTTGTCAGAGGTGCAGTTTCAGTGTCTGTTTGAGAGTCTGTTGTAGAAAGTGACAAGCTGGATTATCAATCTTTACTCTGCGCTTTCTTTTTGGGTACAGCGAGGTCAGCACCTGCCCTGCAAGCTGCATGGAGCCACAGTATTATCTGTGAGAACATATGCTGACAAAGCACCAAGTAAGACTGCTTAACCTCTTTACACAGTCAGTGCAACTGTGTTTGTTCATTAGATTCTCTTAAATGATTTTGTATAGATGCGTTATGTGACAGTAATAGTGCCAATTCTAGAGTTTCTATCTCATGGTCTGATGTATCCCCCCATAGTTGATGCTGATGTGACGGTTGTGGGCTCCGGGCCTGGAGGTTATGTTGCCGCCATCAAAGCTGCACAGCTTGGTTTCAAGGTAACTGTCAGTCTGCTCCTGCATATTACACAACAGGCTTCTCTTTAAAAGCCTAACATTATTTCCTCTTGCAGACAGTATGTGTGGAAAAGAACGCCACCCTCGGAGGGACCTGCTTAAATGTGGGATGCATCCCATCGAAGGTATAAAGGGCATCATCGTAGACCATCCTATTGTACTACACTTACATGTTTATACTTTTGTATGTTGACCATCTTTATGAAAGCCATTGGTTGACTTTTGTATTATGTTTAAGGCCCTGTTGAACAACTCTTACCTATATCACCTGGCGCATGGAAAGGACTTTGAAAGCAGAGGCATTGAAAGTAAGTATGTAATATTGAAGGAAATAATAACTTTTATGGCCAACAAAGTAAAAGAAACAAAGAAACTTCATGATGTGATACTTTAGACGTCGTCCATTTTTCATTATTTTGAACTGCCAAACCTCGTGGCTAAACTAATCTGGTCACGGTCTTGGTCATTATCAGTTGGAGGGTGAAGAGCATCGCCAGTGCCTCACTAAGTGCTTTACTGACCTTTAATTTATGTGCTGTCATCCTGTAATGTTTTTGTACATGGTATTATGTGCATAACATTGTTGGTGTTGACATGTTTGGAAATACTGTGTACTTTTAAAATGGACTGCCACGCACTGCTGCTGGTCAAAGTTCCAGGGCTGTCATTTGCCTGTGTTGTATTCAGAAGTTAGTTGAGTAACTGTAACATTTCTTTTGACAAGTAGTCATTAGCTGGATATTTTACATAATAACATTCATGAAATTAGGATTATCTGATGATATCTACATGAAGTTTCACTGCATCTAAATTGTCACACAAACAATTAGGAACTTGGAATACAGTCATTATCAAATACAAAATCAATAAAAAGGCAGTTAAAAAATGTCTACCTCAGGCCTTTTTGAAAATATAAACCAATATATTTAGTTTCATGACATCAGTTTATACTCTTTTATTTTGACTTTTAGTCCAGGGGATTTCGCTGAATCTGGAGAAGATGATGGCGCAGAAGAGCGGCGCTGTTAAAGCCCTGACAGGAGGCATAGCACACTTATTCAAACAGAATAAAGTAAGTTTGAAAACATGAATGATCCATCTAAGATGATTCACATTATTAACTGTAATTCAATAGTTATGTGTTGTTGTCAGCATCTTGAACATTTCCTATTTTCCTAGGTTACTCACGTTAATGGGTTTGGAGCGATTACTGGTAAAAACCAGGTCACTGCAAAGACTGTTGATGGTGGTGAGCAAGTCATTAACACTAAAAACATCCTGATTGCTACAGGATCAGAGGTCACCCCTTTCCCAGGCATTGAGGTTTGATTTCACAACTGTAGTGATGCAGTACAGTGCATTTTAATACAGTTCATTCATTTTGTTGGTTAAGTGAATGAATGCACGTAGAATTAAAGTTAACCAGTTTTGCCCTCAGCTTGTAACATTCTGTCTCACAGATTGATGAGGACACTGTGGTGTCCTCTACAGGGGCACTGTCTCTCAAGAAGGTCCCAGAGGAGCTGATTGTTATCGGAGCTGGAGTGATTGGAGTGGAGCTGGTAGGTGGGCCACAGGCATGTGTGCATCTGGAAATAAGGTCTCCAAGATGATTATGGATTTTAAGAAATATTTTTAACTTCTTTTAGGGCTCAGTGTGGCAGAGGCTGGGCTCCAAAGTGACTGCAGTAGAATTCTTGGGACATGTGGGTGGGATGGGCATCGACATGGAGATCTCCAAGAACTTCCAGCGTATTCTTCAGAAACAGGGCATGAAGTTCAAGCTCGGCACCAAGGTCATGGGCGCTACCAAGAGACCTGATGGCAAGATCGATGTGGCGTAAGTCACGGCACTGTCCGCAACTCTCTTTAAAGATGCTCCATGTTAATAAATTATGTCAAATTGGTAAAACGTAATTTTAAACAACATGAATGTCAGTCTTCAACTGTAAATCCTGGTTTGTGTAGAAAGAGACTTTTCTCTTTGCTCCGAATTAGCTGCCATTCTGGAGGGAATAGAGTACATGTGGTTTTAAAAATGAATTCAAAAACAGGTTGAATGACACTGAGTCGTTGCTTATCAAAGTTTTTAATTTGTTTTCCTTGTTCTTTATCAAACAAAACAGAATGATGCTTCTTCATTTACAGTAAATTACCATTTATGAGCTACCATGCTAGTGCTTTGTGTTCTCAGAGTGGAGGCTGCTGCTGGAGGCAAGAACGAGACACTCACTTGTGACGTTCTGCTGGTGTGTATTGGCCGTCGCCCTTACACACAGAACCTTGGTCTGGAGAGTGTTGGTATTGAACTGGACAGCCGTGGTAGGATCCCCATCAACAACCGTTTCCAGACCAAAGTGCCCAGGTATGACAGTTTAAGATTATACTGTCGTTTATTGGACAGTGAAATCATTCCATTGTGAGTAAACCGACAGTGATAGAACACTATGTGAAATATATTACAGTAATTTTGTAACAAAAAAAACCAGTCAGCAAACTGTCTATAAGTTCTTCAGAAATTAAATCAGTGAGTTCGTTTACGTGCACTTAATAATGCGGAAACTGCAGAAAGTCAGATTTTGTCAGCAGTCCAATCAACACATTTACATGCAGTTTAGTAATCAGATAATTCTGAAAACTCGGAAATCAAATTTCTGCTTTGCAACCGGCTAATAAATTCACAGAAGACGTAACGTAAACGTAAAGTAAAACTCAAACTTCATGCCGTGGCTTTTTTAGAACATCAAGCCACTTTACCTGAAAATATGAAAATACATCATCTAGAAGATGAGGAAAATTTAAACCCTTCATTTCGTCAAGCATGTAGTTGGTTTCAGCATCGCTCCGAAAGTGTTTTGTCTTGCAGCAACTCTGCTTGCTTATTTCTGGTACCGCAGTCTGTTCTTGCACATTCACAGACTGAGAAATCCGAAAGAAATCAGAGTAAGAGTATACATGCACTGAGAAATCTGATTACTGAGCTAAAATTCAGCACTCTTTATCGTATTTCTTAATCGGATATCTAGACTAATCTCTGATCTAAGAAATCGGAGTATGCTGTTTACGTGACCATTTAAATAATCATACAACTCTGTGATTTGAAGAAGTTATTCAATTAATGTCTGTCCTCTTTTGAACAGCATTTATGCAATTGGTGATGTGGTGGCTGGGCCTATGCTGGCACACAAGGCAGAGGACGAAGGCATAATATGTGTGGAGGGCATGGCAGGAGGAGCCGTTCACATTGATTACAACTGTGTTCCTTCTGTCATCTACACACACCCTGAAGTGGCCTGGGTCGGCAAAAATGAGGAGCAGCTTAAGGAGGAGGTGAGATTCGCTCTCGCATATGCCACATACTTTACTGTGCCATTTTGTCAACAACCTGTTTAAACACTCTGTTCCTGCAGGGAGTTCCATACAAAATTGGCAAGTTCCCTTTTGCTGCTAACAGCAGAGCTAAGACTAATGCTGATACAGATGGTTTGGTGAAGATCCTGAGTCACAAGGACACGGACAGAATGCTGGGAGCTCACATCCTTGGATCGGTGAGTGTCTAAAAAGACCCAGTAACTAACACAACTCAAGCTGGTATTTTGTGTGTTTCCTCTGTAGACTCTTGCATTTCAATTTAAACGTAATACGACTGCTGATAATGAGTACTCTGGCTTGCAGGGGGCTGGTGAGATGATTAACGAGGCTGCGCTAGCCATGGAATATGGAGCATCGTGTGAGGATGTTGCAAGAGTGTGCCATGCCCATCCAGTAAGTATCTCCAATAAACAAGATGTTCATCTTCTATGAAAATGTTGATGTGATCTTGTGTTGTTTTTTTTTTTGTTTGTTTGTTTTTTTAAAACACTAGTTGACCCAAACCTCTCTCCCTTTCCAGACTGTTTCAGAGGCCTTCAGGGAAGCCAACCTTGCTGCTTCATTTGGAAAAGCTATCAATTTCTAGATCATCATCAGATATATGTATATATTTGTCTGCTTCATGACAGATTTTGGACCTTTCACTGCGCTCAGTTTGGAGATCCTCAACCCTCAGCTTTCAGAAGACCCCTTCATAACTACAGTATAACATTACACTTACACTTAGTATGTTATTTAAATGTTCTAATAAAGGGTTTTGGGTCTTATGTTGGGCTGAAAGTGTTTGACTCATGAGTGCTACATATCTGTCAGTGTTGTTTACAGTTGTACTTAAATGTCACAAGTCAACTGCTAACAGTAATAAAGAGAGGAAGAGTCACATTACACCAAAGAATTAAAGTGGAACTCCATGCAAATTCAGTTACATTAAAAGAAGCAGGAAACAAAAATGTGTAGGAATTCTGTTTTATTACTGTATGCAGATTCAGCGGGCAAAAGTGTCACATTATGAGATGCCCAATACAACACTTTTGTCTTAAACTGAGACAAAATCATTATCCTTTCACTGAAATATTTTGTGGTATTTGTGCCAATCATTTAGATAATTGGTAATAATTTTATCATTTTACTGTTGAATACTGGGAGTGCAGTGCAATTAAAAAAAAAGCATTCTGAATAATGTTGCCGTTGTGATGTATTCTGATGAGGATTCTAAAGATTGAGTGCTTCTGGCAACCAAGCGCACGAAAGAACATAAATGTTCAGAGTGTATCAATATATTTCTGTGATTATATCAGTTTTTTCAATAATAAAATCATATTTGTGTCATTAACTTAAAAGTAAGGTTAGGGTTTGACAACCTGTATTTAGCAAACCTGTCCTTTACTATATCACTGAGAAGAAGGAGAAAGTAAAACAGCTGTAGTTGTCATACCAGGGGTGCAGAACAGACTGGATTTCCTGTCAATATCCACTGAGGTGGGCACATAGTATAAATAAATGCAGCTGCAACAAAATATACATCTGGAAGTTCTAAGAGAAGGAGCCAGGCCTTGATATGCTGTTCAGTGATGGATAAGCACAATTTTAGTTATGTAGTTCAATAAGAAAGATATTTAAAAGAGTGGATCAAAGAAATATGTGTATCAGAATACATTGGAGATGTTTTGTTTTTTAGCAAAGTGCTGCTTCTGAAGTGGACCAGTCAGTGATCTTTTGAGGTCAAGAGAAAACTCAGATTCAACTGATTCAAACTGCAGATTGGCTGCTTCTGCTCACACTTCTTGACTTTTCATGCACAATGTAGTTCATATTGACCTACTCACCAAGCTGTAATAAAGTAATTATTTTTTAGCTGAGCTAAAAACTCATCGGCTGTGGCTTTCAAGCAATAATTGATTGGTATTAACAGGCCCAAAGTGTGCCAAGAAAATATTCCCCACTACTTTCTGATGCTGTTGCTTCTTCTGCCTTGATTGGGTGACCACTGCTTGCCAGCCTTCTGGACCAGTTTGACCACCATGGAGCTTTTTGCTATACAATGCAGCGACTACCTCACCTGAATGAACTGACCTTATTGATGCTGCACAGAATCAAACTATTTGATTATAAACATTGCTTCACCTATTTTTCCCCGTTTCTATATTTTAATATTTTATACTAACGCTGTTTGCTATCTGGTGTCGACCAGAGAAGGATGGGTTCCCCTATTGAGTCTTGATTCCTCTCAAGGTTTCTTCCTCTTGCTCTTAGGGAGTTTTTCACTGCCATTGTTGCCATTGGCTTGCTCATGGGGACTCGGACCTGGATTTTTTTGTAAAGCAGCTTTGTGACAATGCTATATAAATAAATTGTCACTTGATTATAGGACCTCTATCAGCCTAGACTGTTGACACAAGGCATGTTGGGTCTATGGATTCATGCTGTAGACTGCAAATTCTGACCCGACCATCTGTGTGCCTCAGCAGAAATAAAGATTCATCAGACCAGGCTACATTTTTCCAGTCTTCAACTGTCCAGTTTTGGTGAGCCTGTGCCCACTGCAGCCTCAGCTTTCTGTTTTTGGCCAACAGAAGTGGAACCTGATGTGGTCTTCTGCTGTTGTAGCCCATCCACCTCAAGATTTGACATGTTGTGCAGTCAGAATTGATCCTTTATGGCCCGTGATTTTAGTGGCTGTTAATAAAGTTACATGAACCACGTCTAGAGTAGTTGCAGGCTACAGTACAACAGTTATTATTAGATTGATAAATCTTCTGGTTTGTTTATATAATGAAAGTATGTAAGGAACTTCAAGCCCTACTGTTTCTGCTGAGCCTGGCAGCAGTAGATTCCACACACACCAGCCTGGCATATCAAGTGAGATTAGTGCCCACAGATCCATGTCAGAGATAATCGACTCTCTAGAGGTCAGAGGTACGTGGCAAAAGCAGACCAGGCCTCAGTGACCAGTCCAGATTGAAGAGGAAGGTATGGAGAATGACACAATCACAGCTCTACCCCCGGTTACCATCCTCCTGCTCCACTCATCAGTGAAATGAAGGTAAAAGGAGATGGAGCTTCTAATTGGATCGCTTCTCCAAGGTCCTCTCAGGCCATGTTTGAGGACTGGCTGATTCATTAATTCCAGCTGAAGTAGCACCATTATCTTCACTGTTTGATAGTGATTTAGCTGCCTTGGTAGAATTACTTGTCACTTTTAGCCACTCTTAACTCATGGAGACTCTAGAGAGGAGGTAGAGGTAGCGTGCACTGCAGACTCATCTGAGAAAACTGACATAGAAGTAGGTGCTGGAGGACAGGTACATCCAGAATGCCGCTGTTCTTCCTTATCTGTGCCAGCCCACTGCAGCTCCTCATGCTCAGTAGCAGAGGTCTGCAAGATGAACCCCTGCTGATCTATGGCCTGGTAGTGAGCTGCAGGATCAAACAGCAGCTGTGGGAGAAGCTCTTCTGTCCCACACTGATAGATGACCCAAAAGTTGACAGCCATTACCACATTACCGAGAGTTATTCTGGTGCTGGATTGCAGTGCACAGCTCCTCAAAGTGATGTGGACATCAGTGGGGAGCCCAGTCCTCAGCAGCCTAAGAGGAAGACCAGGCACTAAGACCTCTAGCTGAGACTACTTTAAGAAAGATCTTTATAATTTCTCTTCCATTAGCCATGATATTCTATTAACTTATATAATGCATTTTGTTAAGTAATAGACATTTTTATTTCTGTTCTTTAATAAAGCATAGAAACATACTCTTTACATTCTTTATTTCTCAAGTTCTATGAGTTGACATTACTGATTGAAATGCATTTAAAAGAAAGATCAAAACAATTTAAAGCAAACTTCTTGAAGCATGTAAAGCAACATTCTTATTTGAAAGTGTAAGCCATCATAGTTAGTGGTGGAATTGGCCATTATGGTGTTAATTTCTCTGCCATTATTTCTTGGAAAAAGTACGTAGCTCATCACATCTTAGGTAAACCTAGAATTCAACTATCCCCATCTTCATTTCCTATAAAGGCACAGCAATATCCTTGATATTCATACCTCCATTGCAATCAGTGCACTAGTCTTAACTGCGATAATCTCCAGAAGTGTCCCTGCCTTATCAGACATCTGCCCTCAGTGTCCAGAATCAAAAAGAAGAACAACATCAAGGGCATCACTAATTGAAATTGTAGTTGGTGAAATCACAGAATTCAGTTTTGAAGCATAAGAAAAGAGCAGGAACTGGTATTGCTTGCTTAAAAGGTTTATTTGGTTTATTGTCAAATACAATTTGGTCCAGAAATCTGTAGAAAAAGTAGAACAGACTTTTAATTAAAAATATAGACTAGAAACAAATCAATTTAGGAAGTAACTGGCAGAGGCCTTTGCAGTCACATGGCCATGTGGGGCATTTGACTTTACATTCATTCATTAAGTTTTGGTGTATGACTTATTTTAAAATCCACCTTACATTCTACCTTGGTACAGGAATAGTCAAATTATTTGTGTTTATTGCTGTAATAATACATCACTGATTGTCTTATGCCTAATGAGTTTTTTGTTAAAACAGACAGGTGCTGTATACAGTGACTTTCTGACTGATTTCTTGAAGCAACTCTTTCACAGCCTTCTCCAGATCCACCAGCTGGTTGGCCTTGTCCTCTAGTGTCTTCTGATTTTCATCATAGGATTTTTCCAAATCTGTTGGCATATTATATCATTGTTATTTATATCAGGATAAACAAAGTTATATTTGTGTTCTTTAACAGGCTAAAACATTACACATAAGATTCAAATGCATTTTATTTTAAAAGCCCATTTTATTCACATCTGCAGTACACTCTCAAAAATTATATTAGACTTTCTGTGTCTTCTGTGTCACAATCTGTGTTAAAAACATCACAAAATGTGTTGGCCTTTATTGAACACAAATGTGCTGACACAGGTTGTGTTAAAAGATTACTTGGATATTGGGTTTTTATTGGGATTGCGTAGATTACTTAAAGGAAGACGCAGCCCTTATATCCCCTATACCTTCTTTCTTTCTCCCAAACCACACAAGACTTCTGTTATCAGTAATAGTGACACAGAAATTATGCAGTTGATGGGTATATTCAATAAATTATATAAAAAAAATATTGCACCTATTTTCAAAGGTATCTTACTCTGATTAAAACTACCAGAATTGTATTATCAGATTAGGTAATGTAGAATCCTAGAGTCCATCCATAGAGTCCATTACTACTCAACACTGATGAAAAGTGACACAAAATGTGTTGTCCTTAATTGGAAACAGCATGTGGAGTGAAGGAATGTGCTGTTTTTAAAGAACCACTGCACTCAAGAAAAAACAGTTTTTACAACTCCTATTGGATGTCTTATTATGATTACACAGCTTTTTTATTTGCCTGCTAAAAAACACACAGACCAGCACGAAGTCCATCCTGCTCTGATGCTGGTTTAGCCGGTCACCTAACATAGTAATGCTGGTTGAAATCTGCATGGTTTAAAATATGTTACCATGATTCATATTCTCATATGTTTTCCACTGAAAACAAAGGCTTCCTCACTACTCAGTAAGAAAGCAATTTGTGTCAGCTTACTTCTGTATGTCACAAATAATATGTTTATGAGAGAATCATGACGTGGAAACTTATAGAACATGCCTGTGCTAACATAACTAAATATTGTGAGATGTTTGCACTGTGCAATTATGATAGTGTCAAATGTAAGTTCCACATGAAGTGTCAAATGTGGTGTGTAGAACTGTCCTAGTTGCAGGTAGCTGCAGCTTCACACACCACAGCACTTTCATTCTACTGATTAAAGATTAGACAATAAAGACCCAAATCTGAGGGAGTGAATCTGTTTTTGTGTGGAGTCAATAGGTAAGCTACGCCTGCCCCACTATATTGTCCTTGTTAGCACTAGAAGCTAGCACTAGCTAAATGACCAGATTAAAAC